CGCTTTCGTCACTATCTTCTGATGATGACCCTGTGTTCACAGTGAATTGATACTTATCCATTTGATCGTCGAGAAGATGTTCTTTTTCCATTTGTGCTTGCTCATATTTTTTCACGTGGTTACAAATTTTCTTCCACTCATCTGCTCCAATTTCTTCAAACCTGCTACGGGTCAGATGCTCCACATCAGACAACCTAAATGTCACATTTCGTGGAGCAACCCAGTTTTTTACGAGAGCCCAAATCTTCTCGATTGGGTTTAGCTCCGGATGATATGGAGGCAGTCGTAAAACTGTATGCCCGTGCTGTTCCATTAAGGCATCTAGCTTATATTTGACTGGAAATCTTCTTTTATTTTCCTGTATTTTTTTATATAGTTCGGCCTTAGTCAATGAGTTTTCACTAGGAATTTGATATTTTTCTAGCCAGTCAATTATCTCTGATTTCAGGCTAGAAGAGGTTACATTTTTTTCTTCCAGGACATTGTGATAAGAAGCGTTGTCAACTACAAGCACAGAATTTTCAGGCAAATTTGGGATCAATTGGCTTTCTACCCATTTCATGAAGTTCAAATGATTCATGTCGTTGTGGTAGTCCCCAGATTTTGAGCCTGAAAATAAAATACATACATATATTCCAGTAAATGTAAAAATATATTGGAAATATTTTACATCATTGTAACACAAATAATACCTGATTTAAATATCAACAAGGCGTTAGGAATAAAGCCGAATTCTCCACCAGCATGCACAATAATCATTCGTTGTCCTTTTGATAAAGGCGTTTTTAGTTCCTTGTCATAATTGTCATCTGACCATCCTTTTTTTGGGGTATGACTAGAATGTATATATGTTTCATCCGTATAAATTATGTTCCTGTTCTCAGCTCTATATTTCATAATTTGCTTCAGATATTCGATACGCTTCAAGCGAATTTCATATTTTTCCATGAGAGCTTTTTTATTATCAGTAGTTCTTTTCCATCTGTAGATATAAATTATATTTATAGCGTTGTAAATCGAAAACCTTATAGTGTGTATGAATACTGACCTAAAGCCCATTTGTTTCAAAAGTTTGTTCAAAGTCGTTATTTTACCCTCAAAATTGAGTTGATCTTGCATTTTTTGGTAAATACCTAAAAAATCTTAAAATGAAATATGACTAGATGCTACGGTTACAATTTAAAAACTTACATTTCTGCGAAGGTCTTCTTTTCTCCAAAATATAAAAATCGTATATGATTGCTTTCAATTCTTCAATTTGGCATGCAGTCACTTTATCCACAACAGGTGATTTTCGTTGCCGCTTTTTAGACGGGGATGAAAATGAAAAGTTGCTTAAATATATTCTATCTCTGCTCTCTTTAGCTATTTTTTGATAAGTACATTTACTTATACCCGCGGCAGCTAACACACGTTTCCTAAATGGGTTAATCAGTTTTATTTGACAATAATTATAAAAATCTTTTACATTCATACATACCGGTATTGTTGAAGTGGAAACTTTAATCCCTCTACACTTTCCTGTACCATGAAGTTATTGACATTGTTGATAATTTAATTTCCTTGACTCCCAATCGCCTTTCCTTTCACGCCAATCTCTTTCACAGACATTGTTTAGATCACTGGTTCAAAACTATTAATAATTTAAATTTGAACAATAGTAAAAATTTCCACTATATTGCAATCTATTTGACAATTTTTACACACGGTGCCTTGTTCAAATTAGTTTACAAACTGAACTTATGACTAACGGACAGGTTTATATATCTGTTGCAGGTAAAATAAATGTGATTAATTAACACTCATCGTCTTAACGTTACTTACGAACGAAGGAATTTAGCAACCGGGAATTATTCCAGGTAGTTCAATTTTAGACTTGTTATTATTAGATTTGTTTCTACTAATTTTGTTTATCTACGTTTGATATTGGTATTAGCCTATTTATCTAAGTACTAATGATGCACTCTAGGAAATCTCATGATTGGTATAGATATAAGCGGATCACAGTCTTAGGATTAATTTAATTACTTTCAGTTGTTTGCCAACTTTCTGGTTTTACCCTTCAATATTGTGTCTATTATATGTAGGTACCTGCTCACTATTTTATATTTTGATTTATGGATCTCCATCAAATATCCACAAACCCCATAAGATTAATAATTTTCAACACAATCAAATATAAAATATGATATGGTTAATAAATAAAAAAATAAATCTGGGGACTACCACAACGACATGAATCATTTGAACTTCATGAAATGGGTAGAAAGCCAATTGATCCCAAATTTGCCTGAAAATTCTGTGCTTGTAGTTGACAACGCTTCTTATCACAATGTCCTGGAAAAAAAAAATGTAACCTCTTCTAGCCTGAAATCAGAGATGATTGACTGGCTAGAAAAACATCAAGTTCCTAGTGAAAACTGATTGACTAAGGCCGAACTATATAAAAAAATACAGGAAAATAAAAGAAGATTTCCAGTCAAATACAAGCTAGATGCCTTAATGGAACAGCACGGGCATACAGTTTTACGACTGCCTCCATATCATCCGGAGCTAAACCCAATCGAGAAGATTTGGGCTCTCGTAAAAAACTGGGTTGCTCCACGAAATGTGACATTTAGGTTGTCTGATGTGGAGCATCTGACCCGTAGCAGGTTTGAAGAAATTGGAGCAGATGAGTGGAAGAAAATTTGTAACCACGTGAAAAAATATGAGCAAGCACAAATGGAAAAAGAACATCTTCTCGACGATCAAATGGATAAGTATCAATTCACTGTGAACACAGGGTCATCATCAGAAGATAGTGACGAAAGCGAATCAGATGAAGATTTGGAGCTAAATACACTATCATCTGATAGCGATTAGATTTTTTAATGATAATATATAATTTGAATTATAACCGTCTTTAGTTTGCTCCCTCTTCTAATTCAAATTTGCTTCCGAACAACTTAATGCGCATACTAAATGAATATAATAATACAAAAATCAATTAATGATCAATGTCTACACAACCTATTCACTTTATTTTATACTTCAAATAAAATAGAACGCCACTGCGCTCTGTCGACGACCTCGTGATGAGCGGCCCCGCCCACGATGACGTAGCGGTCATATTCTTAGATCGTTCGAACTCTACCAGCATATTTTATCCCCATAATCAATATCATTTTGCAAGCAACCGCGAATAATCTAGATGACATTGCAGTCCTCCATAATGATTTGGATGCAATTATAGCTGACGTGAAAGGTGACGGAATTCAACTGACTCAGATGACAACCGACATAGAACTCCAGGAGTTCATTCAAATTAGACTTGCTGAAGCTGCCGTGTTGGAAAATACAATGGATAATCCCACAACAACACCGCTTCCAGCAATGAAGGCTCACATCTCGCCTTCAAAATCGTTAAACCAGATGAAGCACGTAATTGAAAGAACAAAGAAAACCACCACCAAGCAGCCGAACAGTCAAACTAGTATCAATGCTTTCAAAGAGAGTATAATGCTAATGAAATCAGACATCCAAAATAGCGAGCGACAATTGGCAGTGGAAATGGATAAGAGTCAAAAACTGCGAGAACTTCTTCATCAAGACGAGGAACTTATTAAACAGTTAGACGAGGACAGAAAGCGCGTACGTGAACAGAAAAATAGGAGGAAATGGCTAATGGACGAAGCGATGAAAAGGGTTGACAACTTGAAAGAAATGGCACAACGGAAGAGGGGCAAGCTTTTAGAAGAAAAAGAAACACTTTTACTTTTATTTGATTTTTGAAAATGTACATATATATGTATAATGTAATAAACCTTAAAATTAATTTTTAATTTATTTTGTATTTTGTTTCCGTCATGTATAATCGTGCATCATAATTCCCAAAAAATAATAATAGATTAGGTGTGGTCAAATAGAGGTGTGTATGTAATTTTCGAAATACTTATTATTCCTTTAATTAATAATTATTTTCTCCAGGACTGTTTTTCCAAATCCGGCAGACCTATCAACATTTATTGACCAATTGTTACCCATACTTTCCTTGACTATATATTCTAACTGATTGTAAGTCATTTGTACTGAGGGGGAGAGCGCTCCTACGAATTAGAGTGTTCGGTGAACCGATAAGTTATTGTATGGGAAGTGTACCGCACAACAATGGGTTTCGTCGAGTATCTACCTGAACAGAGTCAGATTACGACCGCTTACCCATTTCCAATGTTTGTTGTCGCTCGGTATTTTGGATTTGAAAAATAGCCTTCTTCCCATACAGGATTAAACGACATCGTTTAAAAAAAATAAGCACCTTGAGACCACTTTGTCTTGCCCGATTAAGAAATGGCCTACGACCGGGGGATAGACCGACAATATTTTGCCTTCCGTCGAGAGGGCTGTGTGGTCGAGGAGGAGGGGGAAACTTCATGGCATCTCTCCACACGCTATGAACACAGGTGAAATTGCATAGATTTGTAGCAGGCAGACATCTGTCGGAAACTTAACATTTCTTTGATCGCCTTCACTCAGTTGATGGAAAAATTTTAAGGCATTACAATATAATGTATTCATGTATTTATCATGCGTTGATGTTCTTCAATGAAATAACAACAACTCAATATGTCAGGTATTTATTTAATAAGAATGCATTGTATAATCCTATAGTTAACTAAATAGATAGTGTTCAATCCTCATACACGAGGTTATATTTGAGGATACTTTCCGGACGTAAATACCTTGCAATCTCACACAGAAATGATCTAAGGTTATAATTAATCATATCACTACAAAACTGCTCAATAGTAAAATCTACTTGTAGTACACAACTTCTGCCCTTCCTCGTATTTCCAAATTAGTCTCCTGATCCTTTCACCCTCGTTATCATCCCAACAAATAGGTATTCTATCGTAGTTTGTTGAATGTTCAGCGTCATGCATCAAATCCGTTAACTGGCACACTAATCTCATGATAGCTGTACGTAGATCCTTTGAATCAGGCCAACGCAATGATGCATAATGCATCCACATCTTGTCAAACCAGAGGGGGTGTGCTGCTTCTGGAAAGATAAAAACATAATAGTCAATATCAAGTGGAACATGATATTTGTCAAAACAACCTTACCTGCTGCATTTTCCTAACCCAGTTCCAATCTGAACCTTTATATTATTACTTATACCCAACATATTTGCCTATACTACCTCATATTTTCTTAAACTAATTACTACTGTCAACAAAGTCAAACTTTATCAAACATTTTGAACGACTACCTGATGGTGTCTTTGGCCAATATACGCTAAAGAATATTTGTTTAGGGACTCATTTATATCTTTAATCATAATTTCGGGCATGTTTTCCAACACTCTTTTAGGTAGCCAAACCTTAAACTGGTCAGAATCATAATCAAGAAGGGTTGCTACTAGGCATTGCCCAAACTTTGATTGAATACTTGAAATATTCTTAATAGGATAAGATTTGTTTACAGTTAATGATGATAATGTTCTAGATGGTATATTGTTGTCAGAATCGCAATTTATTTTATTGTTTATTTCATGCAAGGCTGAGGTAGTGATAGACATTATTAAATAAATAAATATAATGTTGGGTAAATAATATAAAAGGATGCTTACCAAATTCTATTTCTTCTGTTCTTCTGTTAGGTACTTCAATCGAGAAGAATTGGGCTCTCGTAAAAAACTGGGTTGCTCCACGAAATGTGACATTTAGGTTGTCTGATGTGGAGCATCTGACCCGTAGCAGGTTTGAAGAAATTAGAGCAGATGAGTGGAAGAAAATTTGTAACTACGTGAAAAAATATGAGCAAGCACAAATGGAAAAAGAACATCTTCTCGACGAACAAATGGATAAGTATCAATTCACTGTGAACACAGGGTCATCATCAGAAGATAGTGACGAAAGCGACTCAGATGAAGATTTGGAGCTAAACACACTATCATCTGATAGCGATTAGATTTTTTAATGATAATATATAATTTGAATTATAACCGTCTTTAGTTTGCTCCCTCTTCTAATTCAAATTTGCTTCCGAACAACTTAATGTGCATACTAAATGAATATAATAATACAAAAATCAATTAATGATCAATGTCTACACAACCTATTCACTTTATTTTATACTTCAAATAAAATAGAACGCCACTGCGCTCTGTCGACGACCTCGTGATGAGCGGACCCGCCCACGATGACGTAGCGGTCATATTCTTAGAGCGTTCGAACTCTACCAGTATTTATATTTTCCCCAGGTAATTAAAATGTATTTATACGGTATGATACTGCAAAAATATCCAGAGGATCTTCTTGAAGGGGGATTATCAGTTTTATTTAATACCCCAACCACTGGCTTACAGGGCTGCCAGGTACCAAGGAAGCACGAACAGGTATTGGATTACAAATTTTTCACTGGAAATTAAGACCTAATTATGTAAATTCAAACACTCGTCGAAAATATTAAGCTAATCTCAAACGACAAGATGTGACAACTTATTTGCGTAGTACATAATGAAATCCAATCCTAGGTGTAAAATCATTAACACAAGATCGCCTGTGTACCTACCAAATTTATTATGTACATTATTTTCATGTTCATTATCTGGCCGAAACAAACCACATACAGGGTGTCCCGAAACCAAAGGATAGTCCTACAACTGTAGATAGGTCGCGTCATGGCCTACTATATGGTATAATTTTTTTTGTAGAAGTCTTATAGTTGTCGAGATTTTAAACATTCGTTCTCTTGTTTTCTTGAAAAAAAACTGGCTTATATTCGGTATATCCCCTGCCATTTCTAGAAATCAGCAATCAGAATTAAGCATTTTATCTCGTCCATTATTGTTTTCTCTTAAGGTGGCGAAAAATGCACAAAAAAGTCATGTCAAAGATCTACATTTTTATTAAAACCCCTTCCTACACCTGACTTTAACACCCTGTAGAGTGAAAGGGTCAAAAACGATCACTGTACCGATAAGACGAAAAAGTTTTTCAGTTATTGCTATTTTTTTAATGATGTTATTGTTACTCACCCTCTGCCGTTTTTTTTTTGTTTTATTGCAGTTATAATGGAGGAGGGTCGGTTTTCGTATATACCAGAAAATAGCAATTTATGGATTGGATAAAGAAATGGACAGGATTGATGTTAAATGATAATTTACATTTGAAATATCAATGTAATGAACACCATTGACCGACATTTTTTCAACCTATAAAATTAACAGCTTCAATGCTTCAGTTTTGAGACTCAATTCTGTTACTGTTGTCAGCTCAGCTTGGTGCTCAAATTCTCTAAAGAAACCCTAATAAAAAAATGTAAATACAGGTCCAACGATCCTGGTGGCAATGAAATAAGGCCGCGCAGCTTGATCTATCTTTATGAATGTTGCATTTTTGTAAGTGAAGTGGTCTCGATCTGGACGATTGTGATGTGCCGGAGTATTACTGAATATTAGTATTTGCATGTTGCAGCAGGTCTTAATCAGACTATTTTGACCGACAAGCTGACGAACTCAAATGAACGGTAGAAGAAGCAGATCTGACACCTTGTTCCTAAGATTTGTAATTTTTAAAAGTCAGTAGTTGTTCAATCTCAAAAATCTCAACTTCCAAGTGATGTATCTATCAACTCCTTTCAAGAAATCAAAAGCTTTGACGCATACACTCTTAGCTTCCAGCAATTTACTATTGACCAGGTCATGACAACATTTCTGTTTGAATTCCTCTCTGTTAGCGCGGTGTCATAAGCGATTCAGGTTTTGCCTTGTATAAATACTGTTATACTGTATGTTATTTTATTCCGTGCTCTCTATAGCAAGTGTATTAAATGCGACCCTCGCTATTTGGGACCTCGAAAACGGTAAGAAATAAGAGGCAAAGTTGTGCATTTACATAACTAAAACAGTGGGAGCGAGAAAGCTTTCCAATTCAAAGTATTTCCGAAGAGTCTTTCAAAATCGTATTTATTTTTCCCGGACTTTATTTGAGGTGGGATTTTAAATTAGCTTACACATTAAGTGGTCAGGGTATAATAATATAATTAAAGTTTGCGAGATAGTTGCTCTTACACATTCACAAACTAAGTACACCTGTTAAACATATATTCCGATAGCGGTCAAATAAATATTAAATACAACAAAAAGCTACAAATACAAAGTAGGAGTATAAACAAATGAAATTTTGAGGCAGATCATATAAGCAGAATCAGTGCTTATGTCCTACACATACTAAATACAAAGTTTTGGATTTACAATACGGTAAGCTTCAGTGCTTCCTTTATTCCACGGCAAATGACCATAGAACTTTCTTTCCTCTCGGTCCTATACAGCATCTTACATTTCATGCTCATGCGAATCAAGCGAGCAGTTCTATTCTGTAGTTTTCCTGAAGAAGTCGTACCTTCCACCACATCCGCCAGTTCCTCTACCATGGAAGCTTTCACTTCTTTTACGGTCATATCCATGTATATCTTCCGTCTGTCCTCAGTCTGCTCGAATTTTTCCGACAGCCTTAGTTCTGCAATGAGCAACCTCTTGAGATGTCCTGGTATGTCCATTTTGGCAACCTGTTTTGCGGTCAACTGTTTCATCGCTCCACACATTGTTAAACAGTCGTTGTGATGCAGTCAAGTCGAAAGGACAAGCGATAGATTTAGTCGAGTCTCTTGAGTATTTATATTCAGGGCTTTCCTAATCTGATCTAAGTATTCTAGCTACTGTCTGAAAATGGTGGCAGGTATCACAGTGCCAGGAGGCCAATTATCGATTTCATAGAATACATAAAATTGCTAGGACATTTCAATAATGGAGATGGCTGACAAATTATTTCAGTATTATTTCTGTAACATTTTGTATACGCATTCAACGTCATTAATAATGTTCTAAAACCAGCTTATGATAGTCTGTCATCTGATGCAAATTGCTAAATAAAGTAAGAAAACATTGCTCTTTTACACCGAAGCAGCGCGGAGGCAGAAGCCTAAATGCCAGGACAGCTCTGCTGCTATGAGGAGGCTACTTAAAGGAACTACTAAACATACAGGGTGCTAATTTGAAAACTTCCCACCACGGATTTATCGAAAACCACTGACTAAAAGGAAAAACCATAAGACACGTCAAAAGATTTGTCAAGGGGGGAAACTTGTTAACCAAAAACTACTTCACCCCCTTTCACCCTCTGCCCTGCCGCTTCTTGCTCGCCCTACCCTGTACTTTTCCCGGTAAACGGCAAAGCATGTGCCCTCTTATAATTAATAATAAAAGTGATTTACAAGAATCCAGGACTATAAGTTATTAAGTTGGCTGCACATGGTTTTTGGGAATCATAAATTAGAATCATTTCCACTTTTTCGGCTAGTGTGTAAACCGTTTTGGAAGTAAAATCTGCATCAATAAATCAATTTTCACTATTCCAAGATTGTCACAAAGGTAAGTGACAGCAAATTAAATTCTTTCTTTCCCCTAGCAACAAATAACTAAATAGGTATAACAATAAATACAGTTCGTCCAAGATATCTGTGTTGATGAAAAGAATGCGGAAAAAAATCGGATTGTTATTTGGTTGTTGCCACGTCTAATCTTCAGGATTGCTGTTTATGTTGGTAGATCCGTTTTAAATTATAAATGAATTGTAGATTTGGCAAACCCTAAAGGGCAACATTTTGAACACTTATTGAAATAAAAGGGTTATTTTGGTGTGTTTTTGTTTTCTATCTGAACTAATTAAGATAAATAGAGATTTTTCTAATTTTTTTGAATACGAATCGACTGATTAAAAAAAATCAAACGTCTAAATAAAGGACTTTGAAGGACCTTTCGATATCCCTTGTCATTTAGAAATTTTAAGGGAAAGATCCTGGGGGGGCAAGGGTGGAAGGGCGTTAAGTAGCTTTTGGTTGAAAAGTTGTCTACCTTGACAAATCTTTCGACGTGTTTCGGCGTTTTTTTATTTTAATCAGTGGTTTCTGATTAGAATAAAAATTTGACTACGTAATACAATACAAAATAAAAATGCCCCAAACCGTTGCCTGTGTAGCTAATGTAGATACAATCCAAATTTACAAAGTGTGAGTAAAATCATATGCACCATATACAAGAACTTAGGGCCGTATCGTCAGTCGTGCCTACAATAATTGTAGAACGCCTTTATGATATTGATTTTCATAGTGTTCTACTGTTCCGTGTCAGCGCTCTATCCTGAGGTTATGTTACAAACAAGTATTTGTATCAAATTGTTCATGCTTTTGATTTGTATCATCTGTTATATCAGCCTGAAATTTCCTACAATTCAAAAAGAAAACATAGCCTCACCATAGGAGGGCTCTGACGCTGACACGAAACAATAGAAATCTAGAAATACCTTTGCCTTATCGAAGGATAGAAAGACTATGAAAATCAAGGAGACCATAAAGGCGTCCTACAATTGTAGGAGCGACAGTACGGGCCTCAGAGCTGGAGTGTAATACAAAATTTCAAAGGGTAACGGTGATTTCATTTATCATTCCAGATATTAATTATTTAACTACTTGTAGCTCCATCAAATTGTAACTGTAGCAGCTCTTTTTTAAATTATTTTTTGAAACTATGGATGGATGTTATATGGTCTCTCGGCCAAAAAAAAAACATTTGAAAGAGACATAAGCTTGCGTGTATATCCGAAAAAATATAAACCACCTTTAATTTTCAATAAATGTTGTTTTGCCCTTTACACGCCACGCCTACTGGCGGAAAGTATCGTAATCACAAAAATCTTCAAAAATAAGGTATATTTTTCAGATATTATACGACATGTACATCACGAAAAACCATGTCAATAATTCCATCTGGTCTGTCTGTCTGTCGGTCGGTCCGCTAATCTGATAACCGCCTATAACTTCAGAAGTACCGCTCGGCTTTCGATAGAATTTTTCCGTAATGTTATTAGCGTACGTTCATAAATTTTTTAATATTCAACTGCTTTTTATACATTGGGGATTATTTTGTCACTGAATTGTGATCTTTACTTTCGCTTTGCAGCCATATTTTTCTTGATTATCGCAGATATTGTCTTGACATTCGTCGTTGAGGCAGGCACCTTTTTTCTCTCTGTACTGTTTACTCCTGTGACCATTGTGCAAACAGTTGAAACATTGGACGACTGGGAAGTAATATCTAAGGTTCAACTACAATTGTAAAATCGATATAATGTCACATTTTAAGTTACATAATACGGTAATAATACCAGTTTTAGAAGTACACAACTATCATTATTTTTAATGGTTGTTAGAACGAAATTATTCGAACAAGAGGTTTTTATTTGAACAAATTACTTTTGGAGTCTTTGAGAACTTGGAAACCTTAATTTGCATTCCCTTCTTTTGACCATCCTGTATTATTATTTATCTAGGTACCGAATAAAGTCTACTAAAAACAGCGGCAGTACCTTTTGTTTTCATCGTACACCTATCACACACAGTTTTGTGCTCAAAGTCCTTCAAGACTACCTTGAGCGAAAAGTTCCTTCCGCTGTACGTCACCAACGAGCTTCTTCTTCCCGAAGTCCTCAAGGGCATCTTACTCTTCATACTCGTATGAATCAACTGGGCAGCTTTCCTGACGAAGTCGTCCCTTTATTTATATCAGCAAGTACGTCTAGTAGCGCCGCTGTGACGTCTTCAATCGCTACACTGAGGGTTTTCTTCCAGTATCTGTCCTTGGATTCTTCAAACTGGTCCCGCATCTTCCGTTCTGCGGTAACTAAACTCTTCAGGTATTTTGGTAGGTGCTTTTCGGTGATCTGCTCAACAGGCAATTGTTTTGTCGTGGCGCAGAATGGCGAGATTAAGTGTTCTTGTGGTACAGCCATGTCGAATAGGCAAACTGATAGATTTCATAGTCATCTGGATATTCATATCACCAAGATAATTATACTGCAGGTATACAAATTGAAGATTATGTAAATATGACCACTGAAATCCGACCTAGTTAAGGGATTTCTGTATGTCACTTGATAATTTTAAAGGGTGCCACGTATTAAGAAAGCACAAATGAATGATGAACAATAAATTTTGGCCTGCAAATTACCTTCCACAGTGGCAGATTTTTAATCTCATAAAGCACGTTGAAGGGGTATTCAAATTCAAATTCAAATTCAAATAATTTATTCAAATAATTATTACATTGACAGGCTCTAGAAATGTTAGACGAGGATTCGATGAATTTTAAAATTTGTGTGTATCCCCGAATAACATTTAACATTTAATTTCCTTATCAAAAACTACAACAATAGAAAAAGCTACACTACAAAATTAATATAAATGATATATACGCACTATCTAATGTAGTAAAGCTATAAGTTACACATGTAGCAGCGCAGATACAGGTATTCGTTTACTCAGAGAACCATACTATTTTTTTTGTAATAAGTATATAATTAGTTTTTACCCAGTATCTAATTTTGTTTTTAATGGATTTTGTAATAATTCGTTTATTCCTTATGAGAAGCGGTAATAGATTTAACAATATGGGACCTGTAAAAGAAATATTTCTCTGAGTAAAAGAAAAACTCTGCAGAGAAGAACATAATCTCGATTCAGTTACTGCCCTGGTTTGTATCGGGTGGTTAACTCTCTCATGAAAGATCCCATACTTTAAAGAAAATTGAATAACTCTTACACAGTAAAGTTGCCTTAAGTTTAGAAATTCTGTTTGAGAAAAAAGAAGATCGGTAGAATACATTTTAGGTTTAAATAACAAAATTTTTAATAAAAATTTTTGAGCCACTTTTAATGGTTGTAAAAGGGATTCACATGCTGAACCCCAGCACAAAATGCCATAATTTAAAATAGATTCCGCTAGTGAAAAATACACCATTTTCGTTAACTTAAAGGTTAAGACATTCCTTAGTTGCGAAAATTTGTACACTAATTTCCTAACTTTTTTGCTGATGTATATCCCATCTTAAGAATCTATCAAAATAGACACCCAAATATTTAATATTGTCACAGGATTGTATTTTTAAATGACAGTTACAATTTAATTGAACGCTACATGAAGAGTTATGTAAGGGAATATACACTTTATTAGGCATGTCCCTTCTGGTCATAGAAAAAGATATAAATTTTGTCTTTTCAATATTTAGAGTCAGTTGATTTATGTCTAACCAGCATTTTATTTTGTGTAAGTCTAGTTCAGCTTTAGTAAAAGCATCAAGCCATGAACTACCAGCGATTAAAAGGGTAGTGTCATCTGCGAAGCACACAATTTTACCATTAACGTTTAAGTTTAAGAGACTATTAACATACACTGAGAACAGAATCGGGCCAAGCACTGTACCTTGCGGTACGCCAACAACTACTTTTTGAGCTTCACTATAAATAACATCGCTTAACTTAACTTTTTGATATCTGTTCTCCAGGTAAGATTTAAATAAATTATGTACTACTCCACGAATTCCTATGCTTTCTAGACGTTTGAGTAAAATATTGTGATTGACGTATCAAAGGCTTTTTTTAAGTCTAAGAAAACAGCTACTGGTTTAAGACCCTTATTTATACTATTTGTCACAAATTGGTTAACATTATACAACGCATTATCAGTACTAACCTCTGGTTTAAACCCAAACTGATCCGGAGATATTATTTTATTTTTCTCAAGGTAGTCCGATAACTTTGATTTAATGCACTTTTCTACTATTTTATTAAGCACACTACACAAAGCTATAGGCCTATAGTTATTTATGTCCGTTTTATCCCCACCTTTGTGGATTGGAATGACAATGGAGTATTTAAAAATTTTAGGATAACAACCAGAAGAAAAAATAATATTGATCAGATGCAGCAATGGTTTAATGAGACTTTTATGATTTTCGTTTATAATTCTAGAGGATATGCCGTCCTCTCCGCATGAGTTGGTATTTTTTAACGAACCAAAGACATTAACAAGTTCCGTCTCGTTAACAGGCTGGAGAAATAAGGATTTATCCAAACAATGCTCATAGGATTGTGGTTTTGGTACTATTTTAGATGCAAGTTTTTTGCCAATTGAACTAAAAAAGTCATTCATTTCATTAGCTATCTCATGTAAGTCTGTGGTAGTTTGACCATTATTTTTTTTAATGATTTTTATGGTATTTTTTTCTTGAAAATCGTTTGAAGCCTCCCTAATGTTTTGCCACATTTTTTTTTGAATCACTTAAGTTCTGCATTATTTTATTTTTGTAGTAAGAATATTTGGTTTTTTAATAATTTTAGACAAGCAATCTCTATACTCAGTATATATTTTCACAGCTTGTGGACAATGATTGGATGTCACAACATTTGTTTTTAATTTATTTCTATGACAAATACACTTAACAAGATTTGTAGTGATCCAAGGCTTTAAACATTTGTACCTAGTGTGTATTGGAGTTACAGTAGTGCTTTGTTCTAAGTAATATTTAATTTTTTTGTTATTGATTCAGCTATAATGTCGGGTTCGGTTTCATTTAAAATACTTTGCCATGACTCATCATTCAAAAGATTATGTAACATATTAAAGTTTGTGTTTCGATGGAACTTATTAACTTTCTCAGCATCGCCATGCTTCATATCGATACTTAATATTACTGGAAAATGATCAGTTATGTCACTGTTGATAACGGCCGCATTACATAATTTTAAGGTTTTCACAAAAAAATGATCTAAACACGAATCCTTTCTAGTGGGTATCGTAATGTACGGAAAATAGCCCAATCCTGCCAAGCAATTAAGATAATTTGAAGCATATTCTTTTTTGTCCAATAAATTAATATTAGTATCCCCTGAAAAAATCTCGATGGTGCAGGGAGAAAAATGACTCTGTGTGAATAAACTCAAAATTATATCGGAATATATTCTTTCATTGAGGCTAGGCAGTCTATAATGTCCCGTCAGGCCGATTTTTGTATTATTTTTTAATAGCTCAATACGTAGGAATTTATGATTTTGAATATCTATCACTTTATGTTGCAGAACCAAATTAGTTTTTACATAAATAATAGTACCATCACACCAGTTTATAGTACTTCCATTGTAGAAAATGGAGTAAGATTCAATACCAAAATCAGCGCAATTTTCGACTACGTGAGTTTCGGACATGATTATCGCATCATAGACTACCTCCAATGAACGTAAAAATAACAGAAAATCATCAAAATTGGTTTTAATCCCTCTAATATTAACATGAATTACATTTAAGCTATATTTTTTATCCAAAGTGAATTCAGTTACGTCGTTAACAGTATAACAAATTTTATTAGAACTTGTATGATAGTTGTCTAAAAGATTATTGTGATCGTCTTTAGAATACATAAAGAAGCTCAAAGATATCTATTTATAGGAGAAATATACAATATTTAAGAAGAGTTATATTCTGGTAAGCACCTATTGTTCCCTTTCTGAAAGGATTTTTTCTAGGTGTAGTGAGTTACGCACTTTAATAATTTTGCCACCCTCTGTTTTACGTAACAGCACTTACGATGAACTCGGTATGACATCATGTGATGTTTGAAGCGGCGTATTAGAACGTGATGTGCTTGGAGTTTGTGAATTGTTTCCTTCAGTTATAACACCTTGAATATGAGATTCGCTACTCTCAGAATTTTCATCTAGGTCATCTCTTAGGACAGTAGGTGGTTCGTTAGTCTAAAAGCAAATAATATCCAAGCTAATATGCATAATAATTAACCATAGTTATTAAACAAGGAAATATACATAAATTTTGTTACAGATGCCTTGCACCGAGGAAGAATGGCTGCAAAAGTCCCAACAGTTCGCAGAAAAGTGGAATTTCCCACATTGTATCGGCGCACTGGACGGCAAACACGTTCTTATCAAAGCACCTAAGCAACGTGGAAGCTTGTACCACAATTACAAAGGCACACACAGTGTTGTACTTATGGCACTGGCTGACGCAGAATATAAATTTCAATACATTAATGTCGGATGTTTTGGACGAATTTCTGATGGGGGTGTTTTTAATGCGTGCTCTCTATCAAATAAACTGGCTGATAACAGTTTAGGTATTCCAACACCTAGACCACTACCAGGTAGAACTAAACCAGTTCCCTTTGTCATAGTAGCAGACGACGCTTTTGCCATGAAGTCTTACATTATGAAACCATATGCATTTAGAAACAAAGAATATTTAACTATCGACTATCACGGGCACGCCGAATAATTGAGAATGCTTTTGGTTTAGCTTCTGCTAGATTTCGCATTTTAAGAAGACCGATTGAACTAGGAGAAGAAAAATTGATCCACGTTGTTTCTGCAATATGTGTGCTACATAATTTCTTAATGACACGGTCTAAACGACTTTACGCTCCTTATGGTAGTTTTGATGTGGAAAATCACGAAACTGGCACTATAGAACCAGGAGAATGGAGACAATCAACTCAAGGCCTGGTGGATCTGCATGTTAACCCACATCTTCGGGGAAATTTGGAAGCGAAAGATGTACAACGGGAATTTACAGAATATTTTCACCAGGAAGGAGAAGTTCCATGGCAATATAAATATATTTAGAATATTTATTATTAAACTTACCAGTGAATCAAGTATTGTTCTTTCATTAATATTGGTTGGACCGTCTATGAATTTTAAGGCATCATAAAATTCCCATTTAACCTCAAAATTGTCTCCCCCTGCCTGGCCACTTTTGGTATTTTTGCGTTTTCTGTTTATGGTTTGAAATTGACAACGTAGGTTATGTATTTTTTCCTTAACGTCTTGAGCCGAAACTCCCAACTTGCTTGCAATGTCATCCATAGCTGATTTCCTCAGATTTCGGTTTTTGTACCTTTCGGAAGAGCAGTCCCACAAATTGGAATGGGATTCATACAATTCTATTAACTGCCGTATCATGGTTCTTGTCCAGTTAACATTACAATCTTTTCTTTTAACACCCCTTTGTTCACTAGGTTCACTCATTTTTATTATTTTTATATCACGACACAATAGTTTGACTCACGTGCAGCATGTGAAATAAATATTTCATGCGAAATTCGCAATGTATCGTCTTTACACGTTGAGACTTGTTTATGAAATTAAAGTCTCATGACACATTCTCGCACGAGATTATCTCTAGTATATCACGTGTCTCAGGTCTGTTTCCACAATGAAAATAAATGTTTCTTGATTTTTTTGTTTCATGAGACACAAATCTCATGAAATATTCTTATTGTGGATTCGCACCTTTACACGTGATTTGTGCGAAATCGCGCCAAAGCAGAATAGTTGGGGGGACTTTGAAACTAGGCGAGTCAGTTGATGGATAATCAAAGAATATAAGTAAACTAACAATAAGTTTATTTTTGATTGATCAACCTATAATATTTCCTAGTGCCTATAATACGAACGTATAATCTAATTCTAAAATCTCAGAACCGGTCTCTCAGTTTATCTTACCATGCATATAAGCAGAGTGAAGTAGGAATATGCAGAATTCACTATCTGAAAAAACAAATAAACGGTTAGCAAAAAATCGCTTTTCAAACTATTTTTCTGTATTTGCGACTTTAACTGATCTGCCCTACCAGCGTGATATGCCAATATAGTAAAATCAGAGCCCGAGGTGCGAGGAGGAGCGAGATAAACCCTTGTTACGTCCCGAGGTACATACAACATCTTATGTACGAGCGGCAACAGGGTGTAATAAAAATTTAGCACATTCTTCGAGAGAAACAAAAATAAATTAATCGTCGCTGTCTAGCTTTAAGTAAACACATAGACATTTCTGTTGGACTAGGGCGCCCATGAGCTAAAAGATTGGGTCCTGAAACGGTATTCATAATGCTGACTTTACTACCAATCGTATGTAAATTCACTAATTAAGCTCTTAATCTAAGTGGGAGAAACAACGTAGCACTTCATCGCCTAAAAAAATGTTTCTCACCTTGAGAAATGTCTCTAAAGAGATTTCAGTCCCTAGGGCTGTACACAGGGTCAGCGGCTTTTGAGCTCTCATTATCATCAGAATCAAGTACTTCCTTACATGTGGACGTGCTTTGTACCAGCTGAGCAATAACATTAGCTGGGCTATGTCGGTACTCTGAAAACAAATTAGACATTTTTGACCCTTGAATTAACTGGAGGGATCAATATTTGGCAATATAGCAAAGACATCAAATACTTTATGGCTTCAGCACAATACACACGGTATAATCAGCCTATGATATCCCAAGAAATCACATCGACATAAAATGCAGACGAAAAAGAACACCTCCTCATCGCCACATCGCTCAGAAAGCGGATCATTGATGTATAGAGGTAACGCTTAACGTATTGTGACCATTAGAAGGTCTAACGAATAATCGAATAATTACTCTCATTCAGAGATAGATATAAACGTCTGCCCTAACACTAGGACCCACGATTATTTCTTTTTGCCTCCTAAAGATGACCAGAGATACTTCTCTTCTTCGGACGATTTTAAAAATCTGAGATCCGGTTCAAGGCCAGCGAATGTGTTACTGGACCCTGTCCTGGTATATTTGTCCAGGCTTCCTCCTCAAAAGGTCTTAATTTATCACCATGAAATACATAAATAAACAAGGTAGGGCAGTGGAACTTGCTGATTTAAACTGGGCGCCCTAAAGTGACGGTTGCTCCGACGGAAGTGGGGATAGGTAGATTCGAGAGAGTGATACGTAAAGTTGTTGCTCCGTGTGGTGTAGTCACTTTCATGGAGTGGACAAAGGTGGAACGCGCGTTATAGGTCAAGAACCCGTGGTGTCAGCAAGACGACACCGCCAGACGCAACGGCAGCAGAAAACTTCATAAAAACTATTTTTCTTTTTTATATTCACATCATTATCATTCCAACTTGTAAGACGTTCATATCTATCGAATAAATATTTTGGTTGAAAAACATCACTGGCGCTGCTCGAACAGGATATCTGCACGGCATCCATCCAAGAAGGATCATCGGTTCGTTTCAACGATTTGGCAGATTTCTACCTGGGGTCACGAAGGAATATCGAGAGATTGGAGGACCATACTGGCGATGAAAATCAGAGCGATTCTTCTCATCCTGTAAGTCCATTTCCTTTTCACATGAGTTCTGAGTACCCTCAAGATTCTTTCCAAGCTATAGTCAATTTTTCACATAAGTCTCAAAAAGAATCTAGATTTAAACCTTACAGTAAAATATCAAAGAGTTCAGAAGACGATATTTTTGATAATCCATCAAATACTTTTGAGGAACCCACAAAAATGGTTCTATCTAACGCTGACGTTAATAACTTGTGTAATACTCTTCCTGAATTTAAAGTTGGAGATAATCTTTCTACATTTATAAGCTCTGTGGATAATTTAATCACATTTTTCAATCAACAAGGAGCTGATGCAGTACAATTATACATTATTAATGCACACATTTTATCCAAAGTAAAAGGCGAAGCTCGAGATTTTCTGAACATTCACAATAAATATTCGTGGCCGGACATTAAGCCACTTTTATTACAAAAATACGGTGACCACCGTAACGAGGAAATTTTGTTAACCCAATTAACTACAACTGTTCAGAAACGCTCAGAGACTTACCAAGACTATCATCACCGCATAATCTTAGCACTTAATGATCTTTTACAACATGTTTTATTAAGTGAAAGTAATTCCCAGGCAGTAGAGTTCAAGGCTTCATTCTTCCGTAAACAAGCCCTAAGAACTTTCTGCACAGGCATCAACAACCCTTACTGTGACCATCTTTCTCATTTCGAATTAAATGCTTTAGATGATGCTCTCCAAAGGTGTATCACTCTCCACAATCACAGACAGCAACAGCAATACATGTCCTACTTGAAATCCACAAATCACCTCCGCGATTACCAAAAACCACAACCTCGTCCTAATCAAAACAATTTTAATTCTTCAAACAAACCCAATAATCCAAATAACCAATACCCTCGTAATATTAATCAGCCCAATTCTTCTAATCAATTCTTCAATCAAAATTCTATGTACCCTAGATCTTTTGGCGATATAAATAAACCCATTCAACAGAGACAATCTTTCCTGACAAATCGTCAAGTCTTTGGTCCATGGTCTAGGCCTAATAATCCACAAGAACAACGAAACCAGTATAATCCAACTCCTATGTCTTGTATTAATTCCCAGAGATCTTCAAATTTCAAGGCTACCCCAATGTCCGCTCACCGCACGTTCAATCATAATGTTGAATGTGAAGTCGAGTCTCTTTCTAGTTTACCTTATAACTAAGCAGACTGTATACCTGAGACAGATTGCTACGAAAACTTTGATACTCCTGAGGAAAATTTTCCAGGACCAGCCTCAATGGAACCCGCACCCAACATAGAACCATTCAATTAAATAATTATTTCAAAGCAACAAAACTTCCTTACTTCTATCTCTCACATTCTAAATTAAAAGTCTTAACCGACTCCGGTGGCTCTGATACAGTAATCACTCCCAAAGCTGCTCGAAACTTCGAAATTCTATGAACCTTTCACCCCAATTTCGATGAAAACCCCAAAAACATATGCACGGAACCTTTACTACCCTTTGTTCGAAGAAATTGGTATTCATCAACCCCTTACAATTAGAATAGCCGACTGGCATGACGATTTCGATGTACTTGTAGGTACAGGTGAACCTCATCAGCTAGGAGCCAATATTAATAAACGACTACGCATTCTAGTCTCCACTAACAATGGCGAAGTAGTCATCTCTGATATTGTACACGAAAATCAAGTAATAATTCCAGCATCCATTCATGTAGCTGAAGACGGCTTCATAGAAATACCACATCCCAATAATGTCGAAGTCAACTTCTCACAACCAATCTCCGCCACATCCATTTCGGATTTCGAAGAAATCACTCCCCCATCTTCTTTTGACCTTAATTTGTTATGGACAGACCATTTGAATGTGGAAGAGAAAGAAAAGATCCTCCGTCTTTTTCATCAATTTAACGATATTTTTTATACAGAAAGTTCTCCTTTAACCGTTACTACTTCTATAAAACATGTAATTCGAACTAAGGATGAAACACCAATCTTCACCCGCTCTTATAGACACCCAAAATCAATGCTACCTGAAATTTCTGACCAAATCAATAAATTACTACAATGTCATCCGCCCTTTTGTAAGTCCCTACTCAGCCCCTGTTTGGATAGTTACGATAAAACCTGACGCAAGCTGTAAAAGAAAATTCCGTATGGTCATCGACTATAGACGGCTTAACGAAAACACAATCGAAGATAAATACCCTCTTACCCGCATCGACGAAATTCTTGACAACCTAGGACGTTGTTCATATTCTCCAAATCCCTACAAGAACATTTAATCCATATAAAACAGATTTTCCAAAAATTCCGTGAAGTTAACCTCACGATTCAGCCAGATAAATCTGAATTCTTAAGTAAGTCAGTAGCATACCTAGACCACGTCATAACACCTGAATGTATAAAACCAAACTCTTCGAAAATTTCAGCCATCGAAAACTTTCCTATACCCAAAACAGTGAAAGAAATCAAAAGCTTTCTTGGTCTGGTAGGATACTACCGACGATTCATTCCGAACTTTTCGAAAGTGACATATCCCATGACACGCTGCACTAGAAAAGGAACTAAAATTGATATCGAAGATCCCAAATATATTGAATCCTTTGAGAAATGTAAATCCGCTCTTAGTAACTCCCCTATTCTCCAATACCCTGATTTTTCTCTACCATTTACCCTCACAGCAGGCGCTTCAAACATAGCGATCGGTTCTGTCCTTACGCAGAAAGGAAATCCGATAGCCTATTATTCTCGCACCCTAAACTCAGCAGAGAAAAATTATTCTACAATTGGAAAAGAACTTCTTGCTATACTCGATTCCTGTAAAGTATTCCGCCCCTATATATATGGTGTAAAATTAACTGTGGAATCAGATCACAACCCCTTAGTTTGGCTATACAAAATTAAAGAACCCAATTCTCGTCTTGTCCGATGGAAACTCAAACTAGAGGAATACAACTTTGAAATTAAATACAAGAAAGGAAAGGAAAACGTCGTTGCCGATGCTTAAGTCGCATCGAAATAAATATGCATGAATCCGAGTCCCTGTGTGCCAACCCTCCAAGTGATGATGGCGAATTTGGCGTAGATGATTTTATTAATCAAACTTTCGGAAAAGAAACTGGACAGTCAACCTAACATTCTTCTCATGAAAATCCCGTTGCCCTCGTCCCGTTCTCAGAAGAGCCTATTAATCATTTTCCAAATCAAATCATAATTAATCTGGGCACCGATTTTAACACAAAATACCGTCTGAAGTTCAAGTCCAAACATGAATATATCATCATTCTTTCCGAAAAAGACTAGAAAACCGACATCAAGACTGCCCTCCATCAAACAATAGAACCTAATCAACGGTACCACATTCCGACAGACAATCCCGATATCCAAAAATATATTTCCGACTACGTCCGTAATACTTATAATCAAATCATTCAAATATTCTTTCGCGCCAAACGAGTTCAAGACGTAGAGAAACCCGAATACCAATTACGGAATGTCCAAAATTATCACAAAGAAAATCACAATGGTATTCTCGAAACACTTAGTCATTTAAAATTACATTATTACTGGTCTAATATGCGTTCTACCATTTCAGACCATATTAATCGCTGCGATACTTGTCTTCGTAATAAATACGAGAGACACCCATATAAATGACCCCTAAAAGGTCCACTTCTATTACAAAATCCTTTCGATATCCTTCACATTGACACATTTTCCTGTAACCGAGAAAATTTCCTTGCAATCATCGACTCTTTTTCTAAATACGCCCAAGTGTACAGTATACCCGACAAAATGAATACCACAATCCTTAGCAAACTACGTCACTATTTCTCCCACCATAATTATCCTCGAAAAATATTCTGCGCAGAAGGTACTGAATTTTCGAATAACCTATTTAAAGAATTTCTAAATCTCCATAAAATCGAGCTACACTTTACGACAGTGAACAACCCAAATTCCAATAGTCCAATCAAAAGATTTCACTCTACGTTAACAGAAAAACTCCGTGTTATGCATGACGAACGC